CTTTAAGGGATCACGATGAGAAAGATAATACGGAAAATAGAGGCATATTTAAGGAGGCTGGTGAATTTTAGCCGCCAAATTAGACAACGACTTAAAGGTACCTCAAAAACATCCCAAAATGAACTTCTTGAGGGCATGTTAGATGTTTATCACGAAAGAAGTTAGGAAATAAATAGAAAATTCTCCTTTTGTTGCAGTGATTGCCGATGAAACGACGGAGCGATATCAACATTACATTTTCAGTAAAAATATTAAAAAAAAACCTAACTCAAAATCGAAAATGATATTTACTTGAAATTTTTAGCAATAATCAAGCTCTATAAAGGAAGAAGCCCTTTGATTTAAAAAAAAAACATCTGAATAAAAATGGCCGGTTTAAGGGGGATCGAAAAAAAAAAAAAAAAATCATAAATCAAAAACGAAAAGCGATATCAACATAAAATTGTTAGTAAAAATCAAGCTCTATGAGAGGAGGAAGCCTATTTATTGTGAAAAAAAAAAAAGTGAATAAATGTGGAGGGTAAGGGGGGGGGGGGTTGAAATATTTAAAAAAATCCTTACTCAAAAACGAACAATAATATTGACATGTTTGGTAAAAATCAAGCTCTATAAGGGAAACAAAGCCTATCGATCAGAAAAAAATCTGAATAAAATAGGGGTCAAGAGGGGTTGAAATAAAAATAGAAATCAAAAACCAAAAGCGATATCAACAAGAAATGTTTAGTAAAAGTCAAGCTTTATAAGGGAATGAATAGATATATAAAAACGGGGAGATAAGGGGAGTTGAAATATTGAAAAAATCTGAAACAAAAAACGATATCAAATTGAAATCTTTACCAAAATCAAGCTTTATAGGGGAACGAAGCTTATTGATTCTGAAAAAATCCGATTGAAAATGGGGGTTAAGGGGGTCTGTTAAACTGTGAAGAGTAATATAAAATGCCAAGCATTATATATCTTCATTCTAGTTTTGTTTATTTTGTAAGTAATCATTTGATTGCTCTAGGTCGTAATAGCTATTTATGAAATCAGTTGCGAAATGCCTTATTTTATGCAACGAGTGAATATTTGTTTTTAATTTGAAATGTATATCTAGGTACAATATTTCCCATTGTAATCACAGTTTCTAGTATTTCCAGTATTTACTTTCAACAAGAATTCCTTAAACGTATTGATTGGTCCAGTTGTAAGTAAAAGATAAAAAAAAAAGAAAATATGACTTATTAAATTCGCACATCTGTCCGTATTTTAAATACTACGAAACATAAGCTAATAATTTAAACTTTGGCAATGTATATCCTCCTTCAAAATGAAACGAAAGTTTGAAACAGCAAAATTGCACTGTTAAGATATAGCTCGAATTAAAAACATTTGACTACAAAGTCAAATGTAACGTGAATCACATAGGACATAGAAAACAGTAGTAATATCTTTCATCTCTCTATTAAAACAATGCTTCATATTCAGGTGTTGCAACTAAGTAATGTATACGGTTACAGAGTCTAACCAATCAAATTTGACATGCAAGTGTTGGTATAACTGTCATCGGGAAATTTATAAATGGGCCTAAAGTGTGAGCATCACCATCATTATTGTTCAATGTACAGTGAATAAAATGTGTTGTTTTTTTTTTTAAAACCAGCGTGTTTTAATCTCCTTTGATTTTGTATAAATATAAAAAAATGTTTATTTTTGATCTAATATACAGTTCAGTGACTTTCATAAATTTTGGAACCTGTCGTTTGTTACTTCGCTTTACAATTAATTTATATTGTAGTCTCCTACCTTACCGACTGTGTAGTTTATCATAATACGCTACTGTCAAGGCCAAACAAACTTTGTACCAGGGCTGGTATATCTAAGGGGGTCGCGACATAGACCCAGTAAATGGATGAGGGGGTGACTGGGGCTAGGGGGGAAATAGTAGTCAGCTTAAGTTGGCAACACTTTTCTGATGTTGGTTTGGCGAAATCCACGGTTATCGTTTGTCCTGCCGTAATAGTATTATAAAAACAGACAGATCTACTTTTAACGTGCATCGTGCATAATAATGTCAATATGGTACAAGTGGAATGAACTACTATTTTCCTCGTAGTCGAATGTCGAATTAAAACTAAAAACATTTTGTACTTTTTTATATACCAAATTATGCAATTTGTTTCCACTTTAGGAAAAAATGCAGTTTAGAGTGAATCCACATTTTAACAAAAAAACATGTTTTTCATAAGTAAACAAGCCTTCCAAACAAAAATGAAAAAAAATCTCAGCGGTCTCATGAAATTTACCCCCCTCCCCCAAAAATGTTTATTTTCCATATTTGCAAAATAAAACATCACCAATAAAAAAATGATGTGTTTATTCATCAGAAAATATAAAAATAAGGATAAATCCGCCATCGGTCGAATGGGCTCTTTTTAAGGCTATTTTAGACCCTCTGAAACACATTTCAAAATACTTTTTTTGCCCTGGAAACGCCCAAAAATATGTTTTTTATATATCACATTTTGATCAATTTCTTGCTATAGAATATGCTAAATTAAAAGAAACTGAATTAATTTATCTAACCTATACGGCCTGGAGACATTAGGGTTACCTCGCAAAAAAAATTACACATAAAATGAAAAACCTAACTAATTTACCTAACCTGTGAGACTAGGGGCCATCGCAGGTTGTTTCTTCAAAAAATTATATATAAAATAGGAAAACTTTAAAAAACCTAATTTACCTAACATGTA